CCGCCCGCCCGGCTGCTTCTGCCGCGCCGGGGCGCGGGAACCCCCGGGACACAGCGCGATGTGGGGTGGTGGCGTCCCCGAGGGGTTCGGGGCTCCCGGGACGCTGGCCGGGGAGGGACGGAGAGAGTGGAGTGGACTCTCTTCCGGCGTCGCCTGTGAGCCTCTGAGCTGGGGGCCGCGGCCGCCACGGCGAGCCCCCTACCCCGGGAAAGTCCGGAAAGCCCTGGAGTCAAGTCCGGGCCGCGCCACTGCCGAATGTGCCAGCTGGCCCGGTAATCCCGAGCAAGATCCAGGAGGATGGGTCCCGCGGGGAGTCTCAGGGGTGGGGAACTCCAGCGTGGCGGGGGCCCCTTCCCCTGAGTCATTGCCACCACGGCCGGCTCTGTGGACTCGGACTGTGGGGGAGGCAGCGCCACGACTCTGACCCCAAGGCTAGCTGCCAATCTTAGGCAACAATTGACACAATTGATGTGTGGATTGTTTAAGTGCTGATAAGAGCCCCCCCCGCCAACAAAATGATTTATTTAAATTAAAAAAAATACTCCTGTGGGTGTTGTGAACCCAGTGGATCTGAACGGAGAAGCCTCTTCATTCAGTGGGGGGACACTAGGTCCCCTGACCACCCTCCAAGCTCACATACTGCACCCAGGACTGGTCCCAGCTGCCAAGGCTTCCTTCTGTGAATTGTGTTTCTAAACTGAAAAATATCCCCAATCAAAGTTTGCTTTCTTTCACTAACCTTTTTCTTTCACTGATGCTATTTACCTAAACTGTTGTAGGGAGTTTCCTCTTTAGTGGGGGGAGGGGGGAAAGGGCTTGTTTTAGCATTGCCTCAGGCCTGTGAGATGCTGTTAGGGGATTTACAAAGTTGAATGCCCACCAGCCAGGTGTCACCTTCCAGCTGCTCTCCTGAGCTTTCCCCCGCCCCCCCCCCTCCCCGCCCACACGGACTTGGCATTCGGTAGTCCTGGCTACTAACTGGGAACAGGGAGGAAGGCCAGAGAGGCATCATGGAAGGACCACAGGCAGGAAAGCCCCAAGCCCACTTTTCTGGGGGTGGGGCACTTTGTCTCCTAATTGTCACTGCCACTCAGCTTTGAATTCAGACTCTGTTTTCAATGCTCACCACTTCCTCCTGTCCTTAGACATCTGGGTCCAAGAAGCATTTGAATGGTTTTCCTTTAAAGATAGAGCAAGTAGGACAGCTAATGTTCTACTCCAGCCAGGCCAACGGGTCACGCCCCTCTCCTGTTCGTCCCAGTTTGGGCACCAAGACAAATTAAAATATATATACACATCTTATATATTGAGCCCTGGTGGCATAGAGGGCTACGTACTGGGCTGCTAACCACAAGGTCAGCAGTTCAAAATCACTATCTGACCCTCAGGAGAACGATGAGGCTTTCTACTCCCATAAAGATTCCAGTCCCGGATGCCCACAAGGACAGTTCCACCCTGCTCTAGCATGTTGCTGTGCTTGGAAGCAAATGTATCTATTAAATTACCAGGGTTAGAAATAACTAGGTCCTTCACATCGAAGGCTGGTTTGAGTTCCAAGTGGGTTTTATAAAGGTTAGAAAAGGTTCAGGGTTTACACAGGCACCCTCGGGGCATTTCACACCCGCACGTGGAGTCCTGAGGACAGAGGAACCACAGCCTGGCACAGGAGCAGCTGAAAAGAAGGGTGGTGGGATTCAGATCCTGGCATTTCAGGCCCTCCGCTGGGAGACATGGTCAAAGGTACTGGTTGATCCCCACCTAGGTGCACCACCCCTTCCTGTCTCAGGGGAGAAGGGGGAAGGCCGAATCTCTGAATGTGCCCAATGCCCTGGTCCCTGTTCTAACTACTTAACATCCTTTCTATTACCACAAAGAGTAATTTAGTGCATTCTCAATGTTTCTGAAAGATAAAAGATACCCTAAAATCAGATGTGTATTTTTAATAAAATCAGCATTTATATACTGCGTTCATAACATCTACATCCAAACTCAGTGCTGACTCATGGCCACCCACGATGGGTTTCCGAGACTGTAACTGTTTATGGAATTAGAAAGCCCAGTCTTTCTCCTGTCGGCCGAGTCCGCTGGTGGTTTCAGCCATTCAGATCGAAGCCCAACACATAACCACTACACCACCAGGGCTCCTTCGTAGGAAGGAGAAAATCACTAATCAAAACTGCCTACTCGCTGGGTACCTTCTAATTCAATAGAGTCTGAGAAGGAGTATTTCACCCCAAGCTGGCCAGTGTCAATGAGTTACTTGAATGTCTGGTGCTGTTCTGCAATGATGTTCCTCTGCTCGTTGTCATTTTCAGCGGCTACTTTGTCACAGTGGCCGGCTGCTCTTCTTCCTGGCCTATCTTGGTCTGCAAGCTCCGCTGCTCCTGTCACCCTTGGTGACCCTGTTGGTATCTGAAACACCACCTTCCAGCTTAGCTTCCAGTGTCACAGCAACCTGCAAGCCACCACAGGATGGCACATTGACCGGCGAGAATACAATTTGTTGATGGAGGTGAATCATTTCAGTTTAGTGGATGGATACCATGAATAATTGGGCTGCTAACCACAAGGTCAGCAGTTCAAAACCACCATGGGAGACGCATGAGGCTGTCTACTGCCATAAAGAGTTACAATCTCAGAAACCCACAAGGGAAGTTCTACCCTGTCCTATGGGCACCATGGGGTGCGTATGAGTTGGCACTCGACGGCAGTGAGTTTGGAGTTTGTTCTTATTTAGTTTAGTTACATGTCTGTGATAGGTCATGTTTTAACTAAAACACCTTTCAGGAGGTGTCAATGTTTAAAATTATAAACACACTGGGAAGAGAGCAAGATGTAATGATGACAGCAGAAGTAAATACGACTAATAATATAACATTATAAGCAGTGCATGTATTTTTTTTAAGGCCATAGAAACGTGCATTTGCTTTTGCTGTTCCCCTACCTTTGTTTGGTTGGAGAATGGTGGAGGCCAGTGGGCAGGAAAAACCCGAAGGTACAGACCACCCACTCTTCATAGATGCTCCGGGTTAGCGGGAGGATTGAAAGTTCTTTTCAACTTTGTGGGAGGCCTGGAAATCTGTTGTC